ATCGTATATAATAAAAACCTAATATGCTAAGTGTCTGGTTGTCTGGTCAGCCGTTCATCCAATCAAAGTGTAATATGCTAATGATATGATAAGGCCACCCAACTGTGCACTGACCAGCATGGGGTTCCGAAACGACCAGTCAACCAGTCGCTATGATGTGCACTGACCACCAGACGCTCAAGGCAGGAGCTGCCCCCTGGTGGTCAGTGTGCTCCCACGGCCAGCCAACTTCCCCTGGTCCCTCCTCCCCCCCGGCCGGCAAACTTCCTGTGGTCCCTCACCCTGTCCAGCAGGCCCCCTTTGGCAGCTGGCAGGCCCTGGGGCTAGCAGGCCTCAGCTGGCCCAGCCCCTATTGGGACTGGGTGAGATTGCCCCAATAGGCCCTGATTACGGGCCAGGCCTAGGGACCCCACCTGTACACGAATTTTGTGCACCGGGCCTCTAGTATTGTAAAAACTATGTATGGTACAAGTTGGGTACTGAAAATATCAAGGGCAACACTTTGTAAAGTATATGATTGTCGCATCTCTATGCTGTACACCTGAAACTAATATAAAATAATGAATGTGAACTGTAACTGAAAAAAATTTTAAGCTTTGGTAATTAAAACAGTGGTATTGATGTACATATAGACCAGCAGTTCTCAACTGTGGGTCGAAACCCCTTTGGGGGTCGAACGACCCTTTCACAGGAGTCGCCTAAGACCATCGGAAAACACATATGTAATTACATACTGTTTTTGTGATTAATCACTATGCTTTAGTTATGTTCAATTTGTAACAATGAAATTGAGGGTCACCACAACATGAGGAGCTGTGTTAAAGGGTCACAGCATTAGGAAGGTTGAGAACCACTGGAATGGAAGGTAAAATATAACGGTAGTGACAAATAATCACATTAATAAATTTAAAATGACAGATAAATCTCTAAGGAAAGTGCTGGGGTCTAACCCCAGCAGGTCCAGGGGTCCCCAAAGGTGTGGATGAAGTCGGCGAAGAAGGAATGACACAGAGACGGAGTTCAGTTGATCAGCAGCCTAGCCAGGATCTCTAGCCAAGTTCTGGTTAGGATCTCCAGCCAGGTTCTGTCCAGGTTCTCCAGCCAGGTTCTGTCGCCAGGTTCTGTTGCCAGGTTCTTCAGCCAGGTTC